TTGACTAGTTTAGCAGTTACCAGGGAGGATGTTATTAAATAAATAGTGAAACTCAAACCAAACAAATCCCCAGGGCCGGACGAAGTGTTTGCCAGGGGTGCTTAAGGAATGCAAAGAGGAGCTTTGCGAGCTATTGTCTACCCTATTTAAGAAATCGTTAGAGTCAGGTAGAGTGCCAGAGTCATGGAAGGTTGCTAATGTGGTACCAATATTTAAGAAGGGAGATAGATCACTTGCGTCAAACTATCGGCCAATTAGCCTAACGTCTATTGTGGGAAAGTTACTTGAATTGATAATTGCAAATACCATTCGTCTTCATCTTGAAAAACATAAATTAATAAATGAGTCGCAACATGGTTTTACAAATGGCCGTTTATGTTTAACAAATTTGCTATCATTTTACTCCAGCATAATTGAGGCAGTTGATAGTGGTAAGGTTTGTGATGTTGTATACCTTGACTTTAGCAAAGCTTTTGATACAGTGCCACATGAAAGACTGATTAAACAGATAGAGGCTCATGGTATTGGGGGTGCTATATTAAGTTGGATTAGGGCATGGCTATTCCAAAAGAAACAGAGAGTTAGTATAAATGGGGTTAAGTCAGAGTGGGAAAATGTAAGTGGAGTACCTCAGGGCTCTGTCCTGGGACCTCTGTTATTCATAATATATAAAAATGATTTAGATTCAGGTTTGAGCAGCAATATTTGCAAATTTATCGATGATACAAAAATCGGGAGGGAAATAAACATGGAAAAAGACAAACTATCACTTCAAGAAGATCTAAACAGGGGTTTGAAATTATCAAAAGATTGACAGATGCAGTTTAATGCTGACAAATGTAAGGTTTTGTGGTAAGGTAATGCTGATAAGAGTTACAAGATACGAGCTAGATGGTGTTGAGATTGCGAAGTCGGATTGTGAAAGGGATCTGGGAGTTATGATTAGTAAGAATTTAAATCCAAAAAACCAATGCATAAATGTTCGTAATAAGGCAAATAGGACACTGGGATTTTTTTTATCGAAGCGTTAGTAACAAGACACCTGGTGTTGTTTTTCACCTATATCTTACTCTGGTTAGGCCCTATTTAGATTATGTAGTTCAGTTTTGGTCGCCGTACTATAGAATGGATATAAATTTACTAGAACGCGTCCAGTGTAGGAAGACAAAGTTAATACCTTAAGGTAGAAACCTGTCACACAGAGAAAGATTGACAAAGCTTAAATTACATTCTCTAGAACGGCGAAGAATTAGGGGTGACACGATAGAGGTGTACAAGTGGATGAGTGGTCATAACAAGGGGGGGGGGATATTGATACAGAGTTGAAAGTATCAACACAGGAAAGAACTCGAAACAATGGGTATAAATTGGATAAGTTTAGATTTAGGAAAGACCAGGGTAAATACTGGTTCGGTAACAGGGTTGTTGATTTGTGGAATCAATTACCAAGTAACGTGGTGGAGGTGGGGTCCCTAGATTGTTTCAAGCGTGGGTTGGACATGTATACGAGTCGGATTGGGTGGTCAATCTTTTTCTTACGGGCTATTCATGCCCGTGCCACCTCTTGGGTGGCTTAATCTTTATCAATCAATCAATCGTCAATCTTTAGTGTGTTATAAATAGGAGCTGTCTCCTATGGGTCAATAGGCCTTCTGTAGTTACCTTACCTTTATTCTTATGTTGTTATGCTGTTGTGAGTGATTAGGGTTGCAGAGTACAGTGTAGAACATGGCTCTTATTGTCCTCCACCGTTACTCTGACCCTCACACACCTCGGCGACCATGTCTTGATGGTTACTTAAAGTCTGCTGTCTCCTTACCTGCACCTGTCTCACACTCTCTCACACCTCTACAACAACAACAACAACAGTAAACACAATAACATAAAAAAAACATCACTAACAGCAGCAGCAACAACAAGAACAAGAACATCAGCATCAACACCAACAACAACAACAAGAGGGGGTGTGGGAGGCAGCAAGAGCCTCCTGGTGAGAGACTAACATAGCCACCAGGAGGGGGGGCGGGGGGGGGGAGGTCTTCCTGGGAGAGTATAATGACTCATCCTCAGCAGGGGGACTCGGGTGGTGGACTGTGGGGGGGGGGGGACATACATAAGAAGAACATAAAAACAAAGGTAACTGCAGAAGGCCTATTGGCCCACACGAGACGGCTCCTATTTATAACCACCCAATCCCACCCATATACATGTCCAACCCACGCTTGAAATAATCGAGGGACCCCACCTCCACTACGTTACGCGGTAATTGGTTCCACCCCTGGAGGAGCCAGGGGTGATCCTTGTACGACATCCCTAGGGACCCCGGAGCCAGTATTGACCCTTTATAGGACCTCATTAGTGACCCTGTTCCTTGCAAGACCTCTATATTGATCCTGGGGATAGTTTTGCTTCTTCTAGGACATCACTAGTGACCCCGGGGCCAGTATTGACTCTCGTAATACATCACTGTGCGTGTGTGTGTGTTTTGACTGGAGTTTTGAAGACATGGAAATTCCGGGCTGTGAAGGATTCAGAGACTACATAACACGAACTATGACAATGGGTGGACCTAAGATAATAGTGGCAGTCATTTACAACACTCCCCTAAATGACACAAGACCCAGACAGGAATTCGATAGGAACAACATGGTAACTATCAATGTAACAGAGTTGCTTCAGTTGCCTACAGGAATGGATCCAAACTATTAATCATGGGTGACTTCAACCATGGAAAGATAGACTGGGAGAATGGGGACCCACATGGAGGTGCAAATACATATGGCGAGCTAAACTCTTGGCAGTGGCAACAAGAAACTTTCTGAGCCAACATGTCAAGGGACCCACAATAATGAGAGGCAATGACTAACCAGCTAGACTCGACCTGATATTCATCTGGAATAAGTCAGAAATAAGGGAAGTCAAATTTGAAGTGTCCACATCCATAGGAATGAGTGACCACAGTGTATTGACATTTGAGTATCTGGTGGAGGTAGGGATAACCTGTCTAAGGATGGGACCGGAAAAGAAAAGACTGAATTACCGAAGAGGAAAATATGATGAAATAAGGAACTTCCTAAGGGGAATACCATGGGAAACAGAACTCAGAGAAAAGACTGTACAGGATATTTTTGACCAGACCACACACTAGAAGGTGAAGGGACGACAACGTTTCGGTACGTCCTGGACCATTCTCAAGTCGATCCAATCGACTTGAGAATAGTCCAGGACGGACCGAAACGTCGTCGTCCCTTCACCTTCTAGTGTGTGGTCTGGTCAAACTACTTTGCCATGTTATTGTGACTCATCGCCTGCACTGTACATGATATGATGCACTATGTCACCCAGAAGTGCAATGAAGCTGTAGGCAGGTTTATCCCGGACCAAAAGGAGAAAAATGAAAGCAATCGAGTACAAGAACACGGAGAAACTACAGGAATAACAGAACACCAGAGAGCAGGGAGAGATACCAGAGGGCCAGGAAGGCAAGGCAACTATCAGGAGAAAGCGCCCAGCCATTACGACTATACAGCAAGAGGGCCAGGGAAGAGTCCCTCCGAGTGAGGAATGAATGAATGAACTGTCAGGGGAAAGCGCCAAGTCATTATACGACTATATAGCACTGGGAAGGGGTCAGGATAAGGATTTAGGATGGGACGGGAGGAAAAGGAATGGTGCCCAGCCACTTGGACGGTCGGGGATTGAACGCCGACCTGTATGAAGCGAGACCATCGCTCTACCGTCCAGCCCAAGTACTCTACACAGTAAGTACCCTAATACCGTACACAGTTTCAAATGTAGATTTGATAGAGCCCATTAGCCTCCAGAATGTGTACACCAGTTGATTAACGGTTGAGAGGCGGGACCAAAGAGCCAGAGCTCAACCCCCGCTAGCACAACTTGGTGAGTGGTAAGAGTGTGTACAGTCCACGGGAGTGTATGAGATGAGGGTGGGTGACGGGGGGGGGGGTTGGATAAGATGGGCAGCAGCACTAGGGTAAAGAGGAAAGGGGGGACCGGTGCACCACACACTCATACCCTCCCTCAGACACACACCTCCAACCATGATGGTATGCCACCAAGTGGACTGCACCACCAGCAGGACGAGCACGACGAGGGTGAGCAAGACGAGGAGGAGAACAAGGAGGACGAGGAGGGGCAGGGCGAGGGTGAGCAAGACAAGGAGGAGGACGAGGAGTAGGAGGAGGAAACCCAATTAGACTCGCTAAGTTGAGGTCCTGACACAACAATTTGGGTAGATTGTACCCGTGGTGGAAGTGACTGGTTTGCTGACTGTCACACTGACTGGCTTACTGCTTGACTAACACACTGGCTTACTGCTTGACTGACACACTGACTGGCTTACTGCTTGACTGACACACTGACTGGCTTACTGCTTGACTGACACACTGACTGGCTTACTGCTTGACTGACACACTGACTGGCTTACTGCTTGACTGACACACTGACTGGCTTACTGCTTGACTGACACACTGACTGGCTTACTGCTTGACTGACACACTGACTGGCTTACTGCTTGACTGACACACTGACTGGCTAGCTGATTGTTGGGTTAAGTCACGGGCTGCTTAAATAACTCAACACCTATCTGACTTATTGGGCCTCTTGAATCAGTAGCTAAGTGACTGACTGCCTGACACAGTAACTGGCACCCTGAGTGTGTGACTGACTGCCTGACACAGTAACTTGCACCCTGAGTGTGTGACTGACTGCCTGACACAGTAACTGGCACCCTGAGTGTGTGACTGACTGTCTGACACAGTAACTGGCACCCTGAGTGTGTGACTGACTGTCTGACACAGTAACTGGCACCCTGAGTGTGTGACTGCCTGACACAGTAACTGGCACCCTGAGTGTGTGACTGACTGCCTGACACAGTAACTGGCACCCTGAGTGTGTGACTGACTGACACAGTAACTGGCACCCTGAGTGTGTGACTGACTGCCTGACACAGTAACTGGCACCCTGAGTGTGTAACTGACCTTCTCCGGCAGTGGGTCTTGGTCATGAAGAGCGGTGTAGGTGCGGTGTGACCTCACCTCGGAGAAGATCTTGTGTACCATCTTGGTGGCCTCTGGTTCCTCCTCCTCCTCCTACCTCCGCCTTCAACATTGATTGTCCCTCACCTGGGCACCCTCGTGTGCTCCTTCCGCCACTCACAGTGACGGTGCCACACTTCACTGTCCACTGGTTGTCACGTGTGTACGGTGCCACACTTCACTGTCCACTGGTTGCCACATGTGCACAGTGCCACACTTCACCACAACTTGACAATTCACTGCAAGTCCTCATTTATAATGACATCTTTGCGTCACGCTGGACGTTGTCCCTGTCGCGTACGTCACGCTGGACGTTGTGCCTGTTGCATGCGTCCTGGACGTGTGGGATGTGTTGAGGCGCGCTGGAGAGTCACGTCCAGTCGGGCAAGTCCTGCCTGAGCTTGTCGGCCGACACAG